GGTACTGGGGCTGGAGGTACTGGGGCAGGAGGCCGTCGAGCTAGTACTGTCGACCCTGGAGTTGGAGACCCTGGAGCTGGAGGTACCGGTTCTGGGGGTGCTGCTGCTGGAGGTACTGGAGCTGGAGGCCCTGGAGCTGGTACTGTCGACCCTGGAGCTGGAGGTGCTGGTTCTGGGGGTGCTGCTGCTGGAGGCACTGGAGCTGGAGGCCCTGGAGCTGGTGCTGTCGACCCTGGAGGTGGAGAACCTGGAGCTGGAGGTGCCGGTTCTGGGGGTGCTGGAGCTGCTGGAGGCGCTGGAGCTGGAGGTGCTGGAGCTGGAGGCGCTGGAGCTGGAGGTTCTGGAGCTGCTGGAGGCGCTGGAGCTGCTGGTGCTCGTACTGGAGGTACTGGTACTGGTGGTGGTACTGGTGCTGGTGGTACTGCACAGCCGCGACTGTTCTTCGCTCCGCCGTCACCGTCGTCTCTGCCACCGCCTGACTCCGTGCTTCACCAGGTTCTTAGCCTCCCGTCTTCTACTGGCCTCCCGTTACAGCCAGGCTCACCACTGCCTGCTCCTTCTCCTTACACCGAGTAGACAGACTTGCTTACTGAGCGTCGTGAGCCTGTCGTCCTGCCTCGCCTATTCGCGCTCGTCGCACTGGTCGTCGTGCTCCTCGTGAGCGTCCGCCTTCTGTCCCCGGCATGCACACTAAGGCACTTCGTCCTTCCTTTGCTCGACAGCGTGTTCCCCTGCCGTCTCCTCCTGAGTCCTCTCTTCCGCACGTTCCAGACCCTTCGCCTGACCTGGTTCCTACTGTCACACGTCTGTTAGCCACTGTTGTCACTGACCCTTCTTTTGAGTCTGCTGCTGCGTCTGCCTTAAACTCTGAGCTTGTTGACTTTGCTGCTGCTTGTCCTCTCGACTACGCCGCGAGTCTTGTCGCTGAGTTTGAGTCTGTTTTTCCTCCGTCCGTCGGGGGTGAGTTTGCTCTTGGCACGGACGTCCTTGAGGATAGGCAGGAGGACTTTGAGTATCTTGCGGCTACTGCACCTCATCTTGTGGCCATGCTGCTTGCACCTGAGGGAGACCCGGATGCACCAGACATCCCGACCCCGCGCTCTTACGCAGAGGCGATTACGGGTCCCTACTCCTCTCAGTGGCAGACAGCCATGGACGCAGAGATGGCATCCTGGAAGTCCACAAGCACTTACGTCGAAGCAGTTCCCCCTCCTTGGGCGAATATAATTGATGGCATGTGGATTTTCAGGGTGAAGCGGCTGCCAGGTTCTCCGCCTGTCTTCAAGGCTCGTTACGTTGCACGAGGCTTTAGTCAGCGACAGGAAGTTGACCTCTTGCAGACCTTCTCCCCTACCCCGAAGATGACCACTCTTCGGATGCTGCTGCACGTTGCCGCTCAGCGTGACTACAAGCTTCACTCTCTTGACTTCAGCACAGCCTTCTTACAGGGCAGCCTGCACGAGGAGATCTGGCTACGCCGCCCACCTGGCTTCACTGGGTCGTTTCCTGCAGGTACCCAGTGGAGCCTCCGACGGCCAGTCTACGGTCTCCGCTAGGCGCCTCGTGAGTGGCACGACACACTGAGGACGACACTTGCGGCACTTGGGTTTGCTCCTTCGACTGCAGACCCGTCGTTGTTTCTTCGCACCGACACTTCGCTGCCGCCGTTCTACATCCTCGTGTACGTCGACGACTTGGTTTTTGCCACTGCTGACACCAGACGTAGCCTACTGTGCAAACTCAACGTGTAGTGCGTACAGGCCAGACCCAGGCCTTCGAGTGAATGTGACAACGTGGTCGCCGGTCACTAAGTCCGTACTAACCGCCACAAGCTCTGCCCCAGGGTGGTGGTAGTGACCAAATGGTCCTGAGGGACAGAGTTACTCACCAAGTTCGTAGCGAACGAGGGGAGGTGGAAACCTGTGAGGGAACCAGAGGGGACTGCCGGACACGGGAGAACAATGGTACCTCGTGTAACGACTGGGCAAGAGGAGGGGTCGACTAGAGTGACAGGGACATGTGTAGTGAGTGGTGTGACTGTGGTGTAGTCGCGGAAGAAACATCGAGACGCGCCCGAGTCCAACGTTAAAGTGAGCAAAGCCTCTGTCGGAACTGCACGTATACTAGCAAACTTACAAGCTTCTATACTAGTAGCGTCTACACCACCGGTACTGCCGCTGCACGTCCTCGCCAACGTCAACGGCAGGCTCAGTGGGAGGAGCTGTCAGAGGTCCACTAGTGATCCCCGATTGATCCTAGGGAAGGGTTACAGGCACGTTGGCCTGGACACACTCACCCGTCATACAAACAAGCCCTTTTATCCAAGTGGTTAGTTGCTGGACTAGGACTCTGACAGGCGTGGGGGCCTGAAGGGACCCCGACGTGTGCTTGAGCAGGGAGACGCTATCTCCAAAGGAACGCCCAAGACACATATGCAAGCACGTAAGCCACAACCCTAACCTGAAAGGGCGTCCGTCTGTGTCAACCGCTATGACCGGGAGAGTGGCCATGATGGGCAACGCGGCCAACCCTGCGCGCTTGCCTCATGCCCTTGCACATGCCTCTACTATTGCTACGTGCCTTGTGTAGCGGGCGAGGTCTTCGAACACGAAGCTATGACAATATGGACTGACGATACAATGAAGGACTACCTTAGCTAGGTGAAAACATCAGGAACGCGAGGTTGGGTGAAGGTTGGGCAATAGGAAAACCGAAGGTGACACGAGGCAGCCTCAATACCAGTAATTTCGGCCGAACGTGCAAGTCAGAAAGTAGGGGTTGTACGCAAATGATAAACCCTTACAAGGAAAAGGAAAATCTCCTTAGAGCCATCTTAAACACAAATGTACAACTCTAAACGAAAACGTAAAAAACACTGCTTATTTAAGCACGAAACCGCAGTCAACCATGATCTATTGCGACCCCGCCTCCTCCGTATCTCTCCCTCCCCGTCCGCTTCACAGAATGAAGCACGGCATGCCGCCCAGCCCAGCAAGCGCACCAGCAGCAGGGCAGAGCAGCACGAGCAGCACCCGCACGCGACGACGAAAGCGTTACCGAACTGAGCCAACCCCCACGCCCCCCTTTCACCCCACACCACAACCAGTTACCGCAGTCTCCATATCACACGCAGCAGCAGCAGCAGCAACAGCAGCAGTAGCAGCACAGTCGGGAGAACGCTTTAGCAGCAGCAGTACAGTAGCTGAAGCCGTTTGAAACGTCTCTCGCGCCGCGACATGTTTGTCGACTGATCATCGCCAAGCGCCTCTCGCGCCGTGCACTTGCGAGCCTCGAGATCGCCGATGTCCTTGCCGTTGTGACGTTTTTGAGTCAACTGAAAAGGGCCACCTCGTGTTCATGCCGTATCTCCTGAACCTTCCTGCGGAAGAGACTAGTAATTCTTCATCTTCCGTCTACCTACCTCACTCGTTTAGGGGAGTCAGTACCGGGAAACGACTCGTTTTTGGAAATACTGTCTAGCGGGCCGGGAATTGCGTTTTGCGCCATTGCAACAGTAGCACCATCACCATCACCATCACCATCATCATCATCGGCAGCAGCAGCAGCTGCAGCAAGAGCAACGAGTAACCGCCACATCACCTGCTTTTGAGGCGCCTCGGAACTAGCAGTGACAGCAGCAGCAGCAGCAGCAGCAGCAGCAGCTGCAGCAGTGGCGGCGAGCAGTCGCGCGAAAACCGCACAGTGCGCTAGCGCGTGCGGCGCCCGTAGCGAGGCGCCTCGGAACTAGTGCGCTTGGGGGAACCTTCCATGGGGGTGCGCCCAGCCGTCGCTCGAGCCAAGCCGCTAGCAGCAACCCAGCCGCGCTGCGCGCCCTCCGTTTCCGCGAAAGCTTCCGCCAATTCTTCCGCTAACGCTTCCGCTAAAGCTTCCGCCGACGCTTCCGCGCGTGAAGCGGGGGGCGGGGCGGCGGGGGGTCTTTTCGGAAGTAGCGGTGCCGGTGCTCTGCGGAGCGGCCAGGATCAAGGTGCGGTAGGCTTGGCGGAAGAAGCGAAAGGGGCGGGGGGAGCGGAAGAGGCGGAAGAAGCGGGAGTAGCGGAAACATCTGCGCAGATTCGCGCCGACGTGGGGGATAGTTTCACGAGCTCAGGCGGAGCGGGGGTTGCGATTGGCGCGACTGGCGCGCAGCAGTTTAACCTGAGTGGTTTTCAGAGGGTAAATAGTAGGAGCCCTAACAAGCATAGTGACTGCCGAAGCGCTGATAGTGGTGGTAACCCTAATAGTTTTGGAAATCCGTGTGGCCCTAGTAACCGCGGTAATTACAGTAACCCAAGTAACCCTGGTAGCTACAGCAACGGTGGTAACCCTAACTCCGCATTTCGCAGCTCTTCGTTGCTGCAGAAGAGCGGTTTCAGCAGCCCCGCGAGCAACAGCAGCTGGATCAGCCGCGGCAGCAGCAGCAGCAACTGTAACTGTAACGGTAACTGTAACAGCAGCAATCAGAGTACGTCCAGTGCGAGCCCGCTTAGTGTGACCTGGAGCAGCAGTAGCAACAGCAGCAGCGCGGAACGCGGCGGATACAGCATCAGCAGCAGCAGTAGCAGCAATCGCAAGGGGCACTGTCACGTAGACGGCGAGGGAATGGAAGCCGAGGAAAACGCGCATCACCAGCACCAGCAGTACCAGCAGCAGCAGCAGACTCACCAGCAGTATCCGCAGCAGCAGTATTCTCCACAACAGCAGCAGCAGCAGTACCAGCAGGGGGGCAGGAGGAGCAGGACGGGGAGCAGCAGCAGGAGGCATGGCAAACCATGGAATGCGGCATACCGGGCACCACGAGCTACCGAATCATGTTCTCAACACCAGACGGACACATCGTCTCCCCATGGCACGACCTGCCACTCTTCTCCCCCGCCTCCCTCCTCCACTTCATCTGCCAAACGCCGCGAGACTCAGTCGTGGGATTTGATCTCGCGTGCTCAGAGCCCAACACACCTCTCCGCCTGAAAAGAGTCCTCCCACGCACGTCAACCGTAGCAGCCATGCTGCAGCAGAAGCCGTCTGCGGCGGGGCGTCTCGCCAAGCCATTTGAAGTCCCAGCGCCCTGCAACTGCGGGCTACTGCCCCAGACCTGGGTGCTCAAACCAGGCGCTTCCCGCTGCTGCCGCCGCCGCCGCTGCCGCCGCCACGGCCGCTGCTGGTGCCACCGGTGGGATCGGCGGGATGGGGGACGGGGCGGGAGTAACTGCGGCAAATCTAGGCGGGCAACCAGTGCAAGTGGTGGAAATAGGCACCAACCCGTCGTGGACCGGGGAGGTGTATGAAGTGTGTCCGCTGGTGGCAATATGTGTGGCAGTGGGACCGGGGCAGTGGGTGTGGACGCTGGTTACTGTAGCAGCGGATGATCCCGAGGCGGCGGAGGTGTGTGATTATATGAGCAAGGCGAGCTTGGAGACGTTGGAGGAGACGCTTGCGGGGATCCGCGAGTGGCTGGAGGCGTTTTACCACCACCAGCCAGGTGCGGTGCGGTGCAATGCGGTGCTGTGCAGTGCGGTGTGGTGTGGTGTGGTGTGGTGTGATGGGGGCTTCCGTGCTTGCTCCACCTCCCTCCCCCTCTGTTGTTTCTTGCCTCGTATTCTTCACACTCGTTCCCTGCTTTGCCCTGTCCTTATTCCACTCCGCGTGTCTCCCCGTGTATGTGTGCCCATATGCACGAGAACATGCCTAACACTCCCTCTTATTCCCCCGTTCGTTCCTTCTCCACATTCCTCACTCCCCTGATCCTCCTCCCCCCATCCCCATCCCCCCTCCTCCTCCCCTCCCCATCCTCCTCCCCTCCCCCGTCCTCCTCCCCTTCAACCACCCCTCCCCCTCCCCCTTCCCCCAGGCACGCCGCTCCCCCCAGCGGCGAGCAGCATAGAGCGAGTGGTGGACACCAAGACAGCCGCGGAGTTCGTATCTGAGGCGCATTCCGCCTGGCAGGCCAAGTTCCTCTCCCCCCAGACCCTTCCCCACGCGCCCAACCTCCCCCACGCGCCCCTCCCCGCGCCCCCCATCTCCCCCATGGGGTATGGCGCAGGGGGGGCGGGGGGAGCGCCGTTTAGCCCGTATGGGCGGGGGCAGGGCGCGGGGGGAGGGGGAGGGGGCGGGGGAGGGTTTGTGTTGCCTAGTCCGGGAGCGTATGGGCGAGGGGGAGGGGGAGGGGGAGGGATGGGGGAAACTGGCCGCAGCAGCAGATGATGATGCACGGGGGGGGGATGCATGGGGGGAACATGCATGGGGGGGGTATGCATATGGGCGTGGGTATGCAACAGCAGCAGCAGTACGTGCAGCAATATGGGGGAATGGGGAGGGGGATGGGCGCAGGGGGGAGTTGGGGGAGAGGATATGGGGGAGGAAGCGGGGGAATGGGTGAATACGGGGAGTATGGGGGGCAATACGGGGAGCAAGGAGGGTATATGGAGCAGCAGGGGGGGTATATGGAGCAGCAGGGGGCGTATGGGGGAGAGTATGCGGAGCAAGGGGGGTATGGGGAACAGTATGGGGGCGAGATGGGGGGGGATGGATATGGGGAGGAGATGGGGGGGTGGGAAGGCGGATATGGGTATGGGGAGGGGAATTTTGGCGGACAGATGGGTGCAGGGGGGGGGATGGGGGGCGGATATGGTGGAATGGGGGGAATGGGGGGGATGGGGGGGATGGGGAGAGGAAGGGGAATGGGGCATGTGGGGGGAATGCAAACCGCAGCAACAGCAGCAGCAGCAGCAGCAGGGGTATGAGTACGAAGGGGGGGAGTTTGGGGGAATGGGGATGGGGAGGGGAATGGGCAGAGGCGGGGGGAAGGCCATGGGGGGAAGAGGGGGAGCGTATGGGCGGGGCATGGGCGCACAGGGGATGGAGGGGAGGGGAAGGGGATGGAACAACCAGGGGGGAATGCAAGGGGGAGGGGGGAGGGGGCGGGGGAATGGCATGATGAGGAGGAGCAATACCACTGGGGCAGTTGGGCTGAGGGGGGATGGGGGAGGCGGAGACGGGGAAGGGGAGCTTGGGGAGGGGGCAGGGGGAGGGGGAAGGGGGTTGGGGAGGGGGGGAATGGGCAGGCCGGTCATGGGTCATGACTCGGTCAAATACTGCCGGGGGGAGAATGGAAATGGAAGGGACGTATGGTGGTCTGCACCCTTCAGGCATGGGCATGGGGATGGGGATGGGGATGGAAGGGGAAGGGATGGAAGGGGAGGGGATGGAAGGAGAGGAAGGGGAAAGAGGGGAGGATCTGGGATGGGATCAAGGGGAAGAATATGGTGGGGAGTTTGGTGGGGAAATGGGGGGAATGGGGGGAATGCAAGGAACAGTGGGGGGGGGGGCAAGGGGGGGAGCAGGGGGAGCAGGGGCGGGAGCAGGGGGCATGGGAGGAGTGGAGTTGAAGCGAAAGAGTTCCCTTAGGAGGAAATCAACAGGGGAGAACGGGGAAGGAGACGAGGGGGGAGGAGGCGAGGTGAAACCGAAGAGAAGCGTGCGATTCAACCAAGTGGTGCGGGTGAAAGTGATTCGGAACCTGAAGGGGCGAGCAGAGGAGGAGGAGGATGAGGACGAGGATGAGGATGAAGGGGAGGAGGATGGGGAGGAGGATGGGGAAGAGGGGGAGGAAGGGGAGGAGGGGGAGGAGGGGGAAGATGGAGAGGAAGGGGAGGAGGGAGAGGGAGATGAAGGAGCAGAAGGAGAAGGTGAGGTGGACGGGGAAGGGGAAGGGGAAGGGGAAGAGGAAGGGGAACAAGTTTCAGAAAAGATAGCCAGTTGGTGGGAGAAGGGATGAGAGGGGATGTGAGTGGTGATGGTGATAATGATAATGTTGATGATAATGATGAAGATGATGATTTCTCTGAGGCAGAGGAGGAGGATGGTGGGGAAGGGATACTGCTAGAGGAGGAAGGGGAAGATGAGGGAAAGGCGGAAGGGGCGGAGGAGATGGTAGAGGGGGAATTGGTACGGACTTTAGCTGATGATTCTGGTGAGAGTGGCAGATCCGGCCAGTCTTGTTCGGAGGGAAAAAGGAAAGGGAAGGGGAGAGAGAAGGGGAAAGGGGTGGGTAAAGGTGGTGTTTCTGGTATGCTAGGGCGGGCTGTTTGGAGAAAAGGAGCGGTGGAGGATGAAGAGGAAGAGGAGGAAGAAGATGGAGGGGAAGAGGGGGAGGCGGAGGGAGATGGGGTTGCTAGTGGGAGGGATGGAGGTGAGGGGAGGACAAGAGGAGGAATGGTGGGGGTGGACGAAAAGGGAGAGGAGGAGGGGATGGAGGGGGTGTCAGGGCAAGGAGAGAGAGAAGGAGAAGGGAGTGGGGAGGCAGGCGAGTTGAATGAGCGAACAGAAAGCGGCATTGGCGGTTCAGAAAGGTTCGACAATGCTGCTTCAGCGGCAGGAGAAGGCGCAGGGTCAGTTGGAGAGAGAGCAGGAGCATCACGAGAAGGAGCAGGAGCAGCAGACGATCATACACACCAGCACATACACCCCTCTGGGTTACCCCCGCTCTCGCCTTCCTCTTTCCAACCACACTCCAGATCACCTCTCTCACACCACCAGCACCAGCAGCAGCAGCAGCAGCACCACCACCACCATCATTCGAGCCCTCGCTTCGGCCGATCTATATCTGAGAATTCTGCTCATTCCAAACACTCCTCGAACCCCCCTTCTGCCTCCTCCTCCCCCTCCTCCTCCTCGCCCTCCCGCTCCTCCCCCTCCCGCTCCTCCCCTTCCCGCTCCCCTCCCAAAAAACTCTCTGCAGCAGGGGCAGCAGCAGTGGCGGGATTCCCTATGAGCAACAGTACAGGACACAGCCCCCCTCGATTACCCCGAGCCAAAGCAGCAGGTTCGGCAGCAGGGCTCTCCTCTCGCGGCCGGCATGGTTTGGCTCGTAGCGGAGGGACAGTGGCAGAGGCGGAGGCTCAGCTAAGGGAGATGAGACTGGGAGGGAGTGAGGGAGAGTGGGGAGGGGGGGAGAGGGGAGATCTGGCAGGTGGCCTTGAGGAGTCTCCATCTGTGGTCAATGGGGGGGAGGAGAGAGGAGGGGAAGGGAGAGGGGGAGAAGGCAGAGGTAGGTCACGGGGAACTGCAGGAGCGACAGCAGAAGCAGCGGCAGCAGCAGGAGAGTCGGCAGCAGCAGCACCCGTGAGGCGACTGCGGAGGTTGAAAGGCGGGGACAGCAGCAGCAGCGGTGGGAGTGGGCAGATGGCACATTTGATTCCTGGTATCTCTAGTAGTAGCAGCAGCAGCAGTGCTGCCAGTAGCCCTTTGGAGGGGCAGGGAGGAAGGGCAGCAGATGCAGCAGCCGGTGCAGTGGAAGCAGGAGGAGCAGAGGCCGCCACAGAAGGCGAGGGAAGCAGAGAGGCAGCAGCAGGAGAGTCGGCACTGAAACGCGGGGGAAAAGGGAAGGCCGGCAAGGTTAATCGGCAACCGTCGTTAGGTGGGCAGGGGGATGGGATGGGTGCAGCTGCTGCTGCAGTTACTGATGGTGCTAGTGTAGCAACAGGAGCAGGAGCAGCGGCAGGAGCAGCAGCAAGTGGAGTAGCAGAGGGGGTGTCATCGCTCCCCCCTGCTGGTGCAGCTGGGGGTGTAAAGAAGAGGATAGTACGACGGTCCTCCCTTGGTAGTGGAAACTTTGCTGATGCTCTTGCTTCTCCTTCTGCTGCTGCTGCTGCTGCTGCGGCGGTGGCAGACGGGACTGGGAATGAGAGCGCTGCAGACGGGGAGAGCAGGGAGGGGAAGCCTGCGAGAGTGCAGCGAACGGGTAGTGGGAAGGTGAGGAAGAAACAGGGGTCTATTGGTGGGGCTAGTGACTGGTCAAGCGCGGATGAAGGGCCAGGAGGTGCTGCTGGTGGTGCCGGTGGCGCTGGTGGTGCTGCTGGTGGTAGTAAGGAAAAGCCAGTGAGGAAATTGAGGAGAGGTAAAGGGTCGTTGGGTAGTGGCAGCAGCATTGATCTGGGTGGAGCATTGGGAGGGGGGAGTGGGAGTGGGTATGGCAGTGATTCAGGATCGAGTGTGGGAGGGGCGGAAGGAGCAGGAGGAGTGAGTGGAGGAGGAGCAGGAGGAGGAGGAGGGACGGGAACCCCTTCGAAGCCCCGGCTTCGAAAGACCCCATCTGCTTCTCGTGCTGCCCTCGCAGCAGCGTGCGACGCACCTCTCCCGCCCCCACATGGCCACAGCAGCTCGCTTAACCCGACTTCTACTCCCCCACCTGCACAGGGAAGCGGGGGCGCGGGAGGAGAGGAGGAGGGGAGAGGGAAGGAAGGGGCGGGGAAGGAAGGAAAAGGGGGGAAGAAGCTGACTAGGAGGCCGTCTGGAGGAATAGGCAGTGTTGGTGGGAGTGGGAGTGGGAGCGGGAGTGGGAGTGGGAGTGGAAGTGGCAGTGGCAGTGGCAGTGGGAGTGCTGCGGGTAGCAGCCGTGGGAGTAGCAGTGGGTTGAGAGGAAAGAGCAAGATAAGTAGAGCAGAAGGCGTGTCAGCATTGCTGTTGGAAGAGGGATGGGATGGGACACAGGGGGGTGAGGGGACGGGGGGAGAAGGGAGGGGAGAGAAGGAGAAGCAAGGGGAGGGAGAGGCGAAGAATGGTAGAGTGGGAAGGAAGGGACGGGCTGGGGAGGGAAGTGATGCGGAAGGAAGATGATAATGGAGAGAGTGGTATGATGGTGGGGATGCAGAAGAGGGCAATGAGTAGAGGGAGATGTGTAGAGGAGGCTTTGGTGTGGGTAGACTTGGATTACTGGGATCAAGGGAGGGGAGGGAGGAGTGAAGTGGAGGGGAGAGGAGTGAGGAGCTCAGATGAAGGAAAAGGAGTAACGAGGAGCAGAAGTGATTTGAAGAATGAAGCAAGGGAGATGAGCAAGGGAAGTGGAGGGTGAGAGTTAGATAAGTAACAGCCAAGGTATGGCATACCATAAGAGAGGGGATGGACGGAACAAGGGAAGAGGGGAAGAGGGGATGCATAGATGGGCTGGTTGGCAGTGGGATTGTTACTGCTGGGTTCTGGACGTGAGGGAATGAATGACCACGTCAGCACGAACCTCCAACAGGAACTCTGGTCGGGTTCGGTGTGGTTAGGCTCGGTTGGGTCGGGTTAGGTCGGGTTAGGGTGGGTGACGGTGTCCTGACTGAGGCGGTATCACTTTTGGAACGCTTATACTACCGGTGTGTATGAATAATCTTCTGCAGCTACCGGTACCAGCGCAGTACTGCTGCGTCTTGCATGAAATGAAACACCCATAGGTACCGTGCCATGCCATGCGAGCAGCACAACACGTGCATTGCCGTGTGTGTTGCGCTCTGCTGTGCTGTGCTGTGCTCCCTTCTTGGTTGAACTGACCACTGGTGACTGAACATTTTTTTTCACATGCGTATGTCTGGCCACATCACGGCCTTGATAAGACTAGTTTGTTGCTCTCACTCACCTTTTGTCGCCTCTTCCCCTAGGTTGTGATTGAAAGGCTGCCTGTCCATCTGTCAGTGAGGGCTTGTATCTCAGACTGTGATCAGTGTGTAGTGTCACGTTGATGACCTATGTTCAGTTCAGTTCATCCACTGCCACTAGGTTTGGTGGGCCTATGGTGGTAGCTACATTGCAGAGAGAACTACTAGGTGTCGTACTGCTGGATAAATCAAGGTATAGTGTATACCGTAGGACTAACAAAGTTTTAAATACTTGCATCGAGGCACTAAGGAAACCACTACTGCAGAGCCACTAGGGAAACCAGACCAGACTCATAAGACCAAATCCCTGAACACTAGGAGCAGCCCTTCCTGCTCCTGCTAATTAGCAGTACCGGTACCTGTACTCTCCACTCTCCCTCACCCAAGTGCAATCCTATGAACTCTTGAACGCTATTCAGCCTCCCATTCACATGGTCTGGTGCACCCTCAACACCAGCAACCCTGTCCTGACCCGAATCTTCCAGACAGAAACACAGAATCACTCTCACACACACACACTTGATCCAAAGCGCACGCTCGCTGCAGCAAACACACAGCGCAGAAGAGCAAAGCAGTCCAATCAAGGCCAAATGCACGCAGCCATAACAGAAAAAAAAGGAGATTTGAGAGAGGTACAGACGCAACATCCCAGGCCAGCTGCATTGGTTGTGTTCTTGCACACTCAAAGGTCCACACTCAGGAGACCACACTCAGGAGACCACACTCAGGAGACCACACTCAGGAGACCAAGCGACCCCACTCCAAGCGACCCACTCAGAGAGACCAGGAGGTGCGGAGCATGAGGGCAGGATGGCACCCCGATTGCTCATTCATTGCAACCACTATCCCCGGCTGTAGCACCACGCCCTGCCCACACGTCACCCTCGCAAACGCCTCTGCCTGAAGCTGCCCCGGTAGCAACCCTCCGTGCCCCATTCCCCCGTTCCCCTCCCCACCCCCTCCTCCCCCACCTCCGCCTGCTACTGCTCCCATCCCCCCGCTACCGCTCCCACTCGAGCTAGGCCCGGCTGCTGCTGTAACCGCGTCTGGTTGCATGATGCCCAAGCACAGGCCATAGCCCGCCTTGTCAAGCGTTTTCCACACGCCCCAGCCTGCCTTCTTCTTGGATTGCCGCTTCTTCGGCTCCCCACTCGCATCTCCACTCCCCTCGCCTGTCGCTGCTGCTGCTGCTGCGGATGCGGATGCTGTTGCTCCGCCCCGTCGCACCTCCTGCTTCTCCTCCTCCTCTCCAGCCTCCCCGCTCTCCTCCTCACCCTCCTCCTCCCCGGCCTCGCCCTTCCCTTGCCGCAGCAGGGAAAGAGACCACTGCAACCGCTTCTGAGCCTCCTCGGGAACCCACTCCCCACCTTCCGCCTGTGCCCATGCAGCAATAGTCGTCCGCGCATTCAGCCTCACAGCACCTGCCACTGCCACTGATTGCACAATAGTAGGGTCCATAGGCGGTGGCAGCCATAGCTCCCTCCCTTCACTCCCAGAATACTCATCCACTCCCGCCGGAGCAGCCCGGGTAGGATCCTCCTTCCCCCCAACCACAGCCCCGGACCTCCCGCCGAACCACGGCAGCAGCCTCGGGAGCACCATCGGGCCGAGCTCGGACCAATGCAGGCCCGGCGCAGAGGGGAGCGGCGGGGCGGGCCAGACGCGGCGAAGAGCCGAGAAGGAAAGGAGCACGTTGTCCTGAGGCTGAAGCGCGAGTTGAACCAGAGAGGAGGAGCAGAGGCCGGCGCTGGCATCGCCGCCCTCTGCAGCGTCGGGAGTGACACCCCATCCGTGCAGGAACTGGGCAAAGGAGAAAGAGGCGGAGGAGCTGGCTAGGGAGAGGCCGAGGGCTGTGCCCTTGGCGCGCTGATGCAGGGGAATGCCGTTTGACGCGAAGCGGGTCAGGCCTTGGTTCTGATTGGGACCGTGGGGATGAAGGGGGAAGGGGGAGGTGGGGTGGGAGGAAGAGGGGTGGGGAGGGGTGGTATGGGACGGGAGGGTGCAGGGAAGGAGGTGTGTGTTGAACTGTTTTGAGATATGTAGGGAGAAAAGTGGGGCTTGCATGAATAGGGATGGGGGGGAGGATGAGTGAGAGGAAGTTGCGAGGAAGAGAGAATAGTCAAGTTGTTGACTGAGGAATGTGAGGGTTGTGAGGTTGCTGACATGGAGAACTGTAAGAGTGAGAGAAGTATTGACAGGTTGGAAGCAAAATGCTGCACTCATGCGTCCATGCACCCTCACCCATTCACAGCCATGCACACAGATTGAGTCACACACGCACCCACTCACCCACACAGCACACCGCAAGCCGCACACTCACACACTGCACGCACACACGCGCGCACGCACGCACCTTGAGAGGGTTCATGGACTCGGCAATATCCGTGCCCGTGGCTCCCACGGGCGCCGCGACCACCCTCACACCGTCCGCAACCTCCGCGCTATACACCACCTTGTGCAGATTAATCGGCCCTCCCAGCATGAAGCTACTGCTGTCCTCGCCCAACCCCGCCGTCAGCTCCGTTATAAGCAGATCCGCTGCGCGACAGAGAGTTTCGAACTTGAATTTCACCAGCAGGCCTGACCGCATTCCCGCCTCTTCCAGCGCCGCGCGCGCGGAGTGCCCCCTAGGCCCGTCCGCGCCAGGAACCACCGCTGCGCCCCCCGACACCTCCCCCACCAGCCGCGTTCTCCCCAGCCCCGCTCCCGCTCCCCCACCGGCCACCCCCCCCGCACCCGCCCCCGCGCTCCCCGCGGCGCCGCCAGCGGCGCCGATTCTGCTGGCGGAGAGCGGGGCACGCGCGTTGGGTCCGCGCGGGGGGTCGCGGTGGCGGAGACCGGTGACGATCTGGAGCGTGTGCATGGAGTCTTTAAGACGGAGCAGGTCTTGAAAGGCCTCGCGCTGCAACCTGCGCAGAGCTCCCACCTGGTATGAAGAGGAATGAGAGAGGGGGATGTGGGGGAGGAGGGGGATGAGGGGGAGGAGGGCACGAGGGGGATGATTGGACATTTGAGTCGAGTTTAAAGTCAAGCCCGAGACGATTGGGAGCGTAATGGACATTCTCTCCAGGCGTTCAGTCTTAACGATCGCCTCGCACACTGCACTTCCCTTTCCTTCCTCTCGTTTCCAAGCGCTGCGGCATACGCTGCATGCTGTGCGGGCTGGCATACACGCTCCTTCAACCGATGGCCCTCCCTAACAACTCTCCCTAAGAAATCTCCTTAAGAACTTTCCCCAAACCAATCCCCTCTAGTCGCCTTTCTCACTCGCCAGGCTCTCGCTCCGAGTCTCTTGCATTGTACATTGTAAGTTTTTTTTCTTTTAAAGCGATCAACCGTCTCTTACCCATCCCTGCAAACCCCTCTTGACAGTTCCCACGTTCCCAACTTCACGTCATTTGTCATGCCTTTCCCATCCCCTCGGTTATTATTATTATTATTTTTTTTGCCATAACATTCTGCCTAACTCAACCCTTTAAGCTGTATCTGTCTCGTCCTAAGCCCCTGGCACAACATTACCTCAGAGCGGTGCGCGACGGGATCTTCGCTCTCCCGCGCTTTCTTCTCCTCCAGCACCGCCGCCACCATGTCCGCCGCTTCCGCCAGCACCTGCTGCCTCTCCGCCGCCGCGCGCCGCTTCATCTGCCGGTCCACGTGCTTCGACAATAACGCGTACAAAGCGCCGCCCAGCCAGTCCGTCACCCCGAATCCGTCATCGTCTCCGTTAAGCTCGGCGGTACGGGGATTCGACGGACGCGAAGAGCCGGCGGAGGACGGGGAAACGGCGACCTCCGCCGAGTTCCCCTTCGCGTTATCCGCCTCGGCGGACGTCGCGGAAGGTTTCGCTGCGCTGGCGGGAGGACCGGCGGCGGAAGCGGAAGCGGAGACTGAGGCGAATAGCGGATTGCTTGCTCGAGCGCGGAGCTCGTCTGAAGACGATAAGGTAATAGCTGCTGCCGCGGCTGCAACAGCCACCACCAAGCGACCTCTAATTCCACCATATTCGTCGTTCGGACCCGAATCGCCATCTCCGCCCTCGTTCCCTCCGCCACCACCATTATTTCCGCCGTTACCGCCGCCGCCACCGCCCTTCCCCCATCCTCCGCCGATGTTTTCCTCGCCATTTCCTCCGCCACCCGTGGACGCCGCGCGGGGGCTTAACCGAGAGCGGGGAAACGAACGCGATGACGAAATTGACTGACTGTGGTAACGGACCGTGAGAAGTGAAGGCGTCGCTTTCGACAACGATAGATGGCTGCGGGAAGATGAACGGGACGGACGGGAAGAGGAGGAGGAGATGTCGGCGGTCGTAAATTGCGAAATCACGGCTGCTGTTTGATTGGCTAGAGGCGACGCTGCTGATGCTGCTGCCATGGTTGCCTGTAGAAATTGATTTGGACAGAAAGAGGGTATGCTGGTCGCTCTGATGGAGGGACCAGCGATGAAGCTTGAAACCAGCAAGACTATGCGGAAATCAAAGTCGAAAATGGACGGGTGCACAAATCTATTGAAAATGCTGGATGAGACTGTGAAACGACAAGCTGGGGGTACAAGCTCCCAGCGATTTAATTAAGTGCTAAACTGCAATGTGCAAAGCTGATCCGTGCGAGCGAAGGGAAACAACGCATCCAGGGACGAGCGGCGACTTCCCTAGAAAGATGCCGCAGATGCACGTAAGAGGAAAACAAGCCCTAGTGCATCACCCCAGACGGCTAATATTTAGCGTCAACCTTAGAATGGCGGAGAGATACATTAGCAGACCACGAGAGACCAGACCAGGCAAAAACACCAGCAAATTGTGTTTTCGGATTTCAAAAACACCATTACCCTTTGCAGCCGATTTAGATGCTACATAAACCGCTCAATAACGTAAAAGACCGTATGAGGCCGCATCTGATGTACAATTTGCTAGAGACGCGCCCACATGGTGGGTTAGAAGCTGCTGTTCAGCGATTGGTGGAGAGTTCTGATAAGACTGTTGGTTGGCTGCATGCCGATTGGTGGAGATCACTGAACGCAGCAGGGCACACTGCCGCAGCCCCTTGAGATTTGTGCTTCCAGCACAGCAGCCGCTCGTGTGATGTGCACTGATGGATGTGCGAGGGGAAGCGGCTAATCCGGGCGCAAACCATAGAGTCCGCTTGCCTCCCTAGGTCGGGCATGGGCGGAAACGGCTTGACGGGAGAGTAGGGGGAAGTAGTGATGTGGCGGGAAATTGGTTGCCAATGATGCTGTGACAGGTGACAGATGGCGGGATCCATACTTTTTTTGGGTTGCGAAGCAACCTATTACAATCGTTATGTACAATTTTTTTTTCAACCTCGAAAAAAAATAACAAGAGTCGACTAAATCGTCTAAGGGTTGCGGAGCTAAGAATTTGAATTGTTTAATTACGGTACTCGATTATTGATAACAGGTTGACGTATCATCAGAGCCATTATTTGTATTACCGTATGTTAATCAGGCAGAAATGCATGTTGCATTGTAAAAAGGGGAAACAAATTTGTGCATCTGTTTACAAAATTCTAGAGCAGAAACTTCAGTGTTTTTTCAGTTCCTTATTACATCTTTTGAGTGAGAATGAAATTAGACCAGGTGTTCAAGAAACTTGTGCCAACAAGATTCGAACCCGGACCTTCACCCCCAACACAGCAAACCTAACTAGCTATCTAATACTAATTTTATTTGTACGTTTTTTGTGACACATTTGCTAGGGTTTCGTTTCTCTCTCTCTCTCGTTTTTTCGATCTGCTCCTGGTCCCACCAGGCGCATTTCTTCTCGTTTTGCTAGCGCGCTGGCTCACATCAACCAGCTACTTGAATACGTGTAAGCTTCTTTTTCCTTGTGCCTAATACCTAATACCTAATGGCGTTTCGTGTGTAGGTTAGTAGACGCCTTAGTTGCTTAAGATGGCCTTGTGTTGGGACGTTCTGGCCATTCCGACCTAGTAAGGTATGTTGATTTCTTAATTCATAGCTATTTCGACCTAGATTAGTACATTAACCGTCGTTCTTTCCATGGGTTTCTCTTTATTATCCTCATTTGTTTTTACGTTCTTCACCACCTCGTAGGTTTCTCCTTTTCTCTGCCACTTCATCCATCCATCTTTTCCTTCCAGCTTGTCCTATCCATTTCCAGTCTTGTTATAGTGCTTGCACCTCGGTTTTTCCTCTAGTTTCCAACCCAAGATGCTACGTCATTCTAAATTGTTGCATCCCGATTTGAAAACTACTTAGTTTCTTCCGAAATCGTAGTTTGTTAAACTCTTATCACTTTTTCGTTCGTTCTCTCATTCGTTCTCTCTCTTCAGTCTCTCTCTCTCTCTCTCTCTCTCTCTCTCTCTCTCTCTCTCTCTCTCTCTCTCTCTCTCTCTCTCTCTCTCTCTCTCTCTCTCTCTCTCTCTCTCTCTCTCTCTCGCTCTCGCTCTCACTCTCTCGCTCTCTCAGTGAGTTTTGTTTATCTTGTTTTTTTCCCTTCGTTAGTGTATTCTTCCTTGCTGTTAGGTTGGTTTGAGAGTTGCGCCAGATTAGGATGCGCTTTCTGCTCCTTCCATCTCCTCTTCATTTCATCACCTCTTATTCTTGTAATTTGTTGCCTAGCTTCTTGTACTTACTGTAAATGTTTCCGATTTTTTTTTTGTTGTTGTTTAAACTTTCATACTTTCCATTTCTTTGTCTGCTCATTAGTATACATCTTGTATCCTTCTCTGTTATTTCGAATAACATGCACTCTTTTTCAACTGCAAGTTTTTCTCGCTGTTTTCTTTAGTTCGGGGTTTGACATATTCTGATTTTCTGACTTGAAGTTTCGACTGACTTTTACGCCATTCTTCTCTTCATTTTCTCAGTTTCGTTTCTCATAATCCTGAAATCCTTCTATTCCGTCTTTTCTTATGTGCTTGCCTTTTACTTTGTCAATCCGTGCATTTCGTTTCTGTTTGATTACCATCTTTATCAATTTCTCTGCCTTCCCCCTTCTTCTGCCCCTTTTGCCCTCTTCCTTTCCCCAGAAGCTTTGCTGTATTATTGGGAAGTCAAGACCAATGTAGAAAGTAGTTTGATATCAGTGTTGACTTGTATGATTGATGGTATTGTTTTGCTTTGGTAGATTTGTTTTTTATTGACTAGTCTCAGTTCTTGCGCGTGAATTCTGGTGCGTCTGTGTGTTTATGTCACTATGTGTGTGTATGTATGTGTGTGTGCATTCATCCATTTGCATATATCATTGCATTCACAATGCATATCTGTGTGTTTTAAAAAAATGGTCAACCTATCATTTCTAAGAAGGTTCTTTGCGCACTCAGTGAGTGTGTCCATTTGAACTGGATTTGATGGATCTTGATTATTTTTTTAATTTACACAGATTGTGTTGTTTCATGTAACAGTTGGGTGATTCAGGATTTATGCTATTGACTTCCCCCCATGCTAGGCAGCATGGGGTCTGGGTCAATTAATTGTTACGCATTACCATCATGCTATGCATTTATTTCACAGTAGTGTAATACGCATTACCATCATGCTATGCATTCATTTCCATCATACAGCGGATTTATAACGAAAAAAAATGTAATTTTTGTAGCATATGCATTATACCGTATTTATGCATTTTGCATTCAATATTTGGTTCATATCCATCCATACATCTTCTATGCATATAATATGATCCGGCATATGCATTACGGAATAGACAATCACGCGTTCATGTTTCATCCATACAATATAGGTTTGTACAGTAAAACAAATTAGGAAATGAGAAGGAACGCAGTACGGCACGTGCTGAATTGCCGTGGCAAATACATAGTGTAAGTCACACAGCTACCGTTCATTAGATTTTCTTCGTCTTTTTTAAAGAGGATTGAAAAAAAAATCAACATAACGATTGTAATGGGTTGCTCCGCAACCCAAATATAAATGTAGTGAACGGTAGTCAGGGCTGACTATTCAAAAAAATCCAGTCTGACGTTCTGGGGGGTCTGAAAAAAATTAGTCTGAGGCTCATTTCCCAGAGAATGGCTACTCTGATTTTCCAGGTTCCGTAAAAACACAAGTCTGAAGTACTCGGACTTCACATGGCGAAATCAAACACGGCGTTTCCCTCGCTGACACCGCGTAGCTACAGCGATGGTCCCACGTGAGTGAAACAGCGAGGCAATGTCAGAATCCCAGTCACTAACCACTGGGATAAAAGGGCTTGTTTGTATAGCGGGTGAGTGCGCCCATAACCCCCCAGGCCGACATGCCTGTAACCCTTCCCTAGGATCATCGGGGATCTCCAGTGGACCTCTGACACCCCCCCGCACTGGGATGCCCGAAGTGCATACACCGGGATTCGAACCCGAGACCTTCGCTCTGATACCATGTCAGAATCCCAGTCACTAACCACTGGGATAAAAGGGCTTGTTTGTATAGCGGGTGAGTGCGCCCATAACCCCCCAGGCCGACATGCCTGTAACCCTTCCCTAGGATCATCGGGGATCTCCAGTGGACCTCTGACAGGCAAGTGGTAGAATTCCAAGGGAAAAGGGTGGAAAAAGTTCTTAGTACAGATTTTGCGTGTGAGCGCGGTGAAGTTCTTCGTACCCTGCAGAAGGTATGCAGAAAGTACAGATCCGCATTTCAGATCTGTACTCCCTATAGTATGAAGACCCATTATCGGCTAAGTCACTACTCTGAAATTCTCAGTATCCAAAAACAACGAAGTCTGAAGCACTCATGTTTGAAAATCTTACAACTCTGAAAAATCAGGATCCGTAGGAAAATACCCTGAGATTTCAGACTATCAGACTAATTTAGTCTGATAAAATCAGCCCTGACGGTAGTTATGGTAAGTGATTGACTGCTACGGTATGTATTTGCCTCGGCAATTCGCCACATTCGTTCTCATTTCCTAGTTTGCCTCGACTGAACCTACCCGTATATTGTATGGATCAAACATGAACATGTGTTGCCGAAATGATGTTACTGTGAACGCATGACTGTCTATTCCGTACCATGTTATGCATAGATGAAGTATAATGATGGATATGGTGAACCAAATATTGAATGAACAATGCATAAATATAATGCATATGCTACTGTGGTAAATATACCATAGTATATTTTCCAGCTTTAAGTCGTAGTTAAATGAATGCTTAGCATGATGGAAATGCGTAACAGTTAATTGACACAGGCTCTATGCTACCGCATCCCCTGCCTAGCATGGGGGGGAGCTCAATAGCATAGTTTCTGAATCATCCAACCGTTACATGAAACAACACAATCTGTGTAAATTAAAAAAATGATCAAGATCCATCAAATCCAGTTCAAGTGGACACACTCACTGAGTGCGCAAAGAACCTTCTCGGAAATGATGGTTTGACCATCTTTTTAAAACC